CCGCACCCCTGCACGCCCGCCAGCTGGCACCCCGCCCGCTGCCAGCAGCACCCCACCTCACCGCCCCGCTCCCCACCCCCTCTATCTACCCCCTCATCTTGCAGCGGTGGCGGCCGAGCCCCTCGCTGACCGTTCAACACACCGCCCCACCAACACGACGCGCCCCCGCAGCTGCGGCGCACCTTCTCCTCCCAGGCCTGCCGCAGCACCGCGTGCGTCTGGATGCACACCCCCTCCACCGCGTCCACCAGCACCAGCGCCCCGTCAGACAGCCGCGCCGCAGTAGAAACCTCGCTGCAGAAGTCCACGTGGCCGGGCGAGTCGATGAGGTTGACCAGGAAGCCGCCCGACAGCTTCTCCTCGGGCGTGATGGACCGCGGGCCCTGCGGCGGCCGGGCGGCGCGCGGCGCGATGCAACATTGGTTGGTAGCCGGCGTGCGGGTCGAAACGGGCCTGGAGAGACCTGGTCCGATCATCCTTGGGGGGTCTCGCACCCGACAACCCCGACCGCAAGCTTTGCTGCCCATCCCCTTTGATATAGCGTCCCGACATGCAACCAGGGTTCTGGCCCGGGGGTGGGGGGATGGGGAGCCTTTGGCCCGCACCTCCGGCCGGTGTACTGCGCCTGGCACGTAGAGCAGGCTGATGGAGGACGACTTGATGGTGATGCCACGAGACTGCTCGTCATCGCGGCTGTCGAGGTAGCGCAGCTCTCCCACCTTGTGATTGGGGAGGGGGGACAGGCAACAAGGTTGTATGAAGGGAGGTTTGTGCCAGGGCGGGGGCGATCCGCCCGGGGAGGGGAGGGGGTTGCGTGGGATGCGCAGGAAGCAGCAGCGTGGGCGCGGCGGGGCGCGCGCTATAGCCGTGCGCTGGCGCCGCCGCTCGCGTCACTGCTCCTGCTGTTGACGCGGCACCATCCGTCACTGCCGCCGCTGCTGCCGCTGCGGAGCCGCCTCAAGCGGTCGCTGATTAGGGGGCCGGTGCTCCTGGGGCCGCACCATTTTCGGGTGGATGAGGCCGTTCGATGCTATCAAATGGTCCGACAGCGTTGTCTTTCCGTGATCGACGTGCGCCATGATGCACATGTTGCGGATGCGGTCCTGTGCATAATGGCACGTTCGCGATTCGGCGCCAAGCGCGCGGGAGCGTCGGGAGGGGGGAGGGAGCGCGGCGCCGCGGGGCGCGGGGCCGACGTGGACAGCAGAGCAGGCAGCGTGACTGCCGGGCGTCGCCGAGGCGGTCCAGAATTGTTCGCTGGAAGAGGTGGCTGCACCTGAGTATGTATGATTCCTGAATTTGCGTGCATGCCCCCTGCTTCTAGGGGTTTTGGGCCGCGGCAGGTGTACGACAGCGATGCCTGAGAGCGCAAAAGCGGCGGCCAGCAACGCACCTGCTGCTGCTGCAGTGCAGCGAGCTGCGCCACCGTGACATTCATGATGTGATGGGATGGCTGAACCAAGCAAACGTTCTGCTATTGAAGTGCCAGCCGTAAAGCCATCCCCCCGCTTGACGCAACACACGCTGATGTCGAAGATCGTCGTTGTGAACAACAGGCAATTGGAAGAAAAGAATGGCTGGTTTGCGGGTCAATCGTACTTCAGGGTGTCCTCTATCTGCAGATGCCACCATCAGTGAATCAGCCGTCATCACTGGCAGCTGCCAGCGCAGAACCTGCTGGCTCTGAAACATTGCGCCAAACCCGTGCAGCAGAGTATGGGGCCTGGTGGGCAGAGGATTGCTGATGTTGATACATTGTATGACATGAGCATCAGGGCCACCATAGAGCTATGGTGTCGACACGAGTTACACCTGGCCACGCCTGATGGCCTTGGCCCGCTGCAGCGCCACAAACTCTGTGCGGCTCAAGATCGCGCGCTCGCGCAGCCGTATCGACGCGCACAGCGCCTCCCGCTGCTCGTAGCCGCCCCCCTGGAGCACCGTGTCCGCTAGCCGCTTGTCTGCTGCAGGGTCCTGGGTGTACGCTGTGTGAACGGGGGGGGGGGGGGGGAGTATGCAATCCGGGCGGCATGCCGCGTGCGGGGCAGCATGATCGAGGGTGGGAAAAAGCCGTAGCTTTCAAGCATGATCCAGCGTTGGCAATCCCAAACAGCGCTAGCCGCAAAGGGCTGCGCCCCAGCAGGCCGGGCCAAGCTTGTAGCCGCATGAACACCCCACAGGCAACCGCACCCGGCTGCTGGGGACCCACCTTTGAGGGCCTGCTTGCACCTGCGCGCCAGCCCCTCAAGCGCCAGAGCCTCTGCGCTGGTGCCGTCCTTCAAGATCGGCAGCTCTCCCCTGCAAAGACATTGGCCAGGTCAGAAATTATTTAGCGGAGGCCAGTCAGCACAGGAGCCCCCCACCAGCGCCCCCATGCCCACGCTGCGCCGCGGGCCCTGGCGCGCCGCAACGCCGCCGGCGCGGCGGCTGCTTCCTGGGCTGCCCCTTGCCCGCCGCGCACGCACGCCTGTGTGCCAACAAACGGACGCCACAGCGCGCCTGTGCAGCCGCCGCAGGCCCCATGACAATCGACCGCGCGCAAGCCCTTACAGGGTCTCCCCATCAGCAGCAGGCCTCAAGGCGCCTGCCAAGTCGCTCGGCCCAAATGAACCAAGATCATTCCCTCCCACCTGGACAGCAGCGCGTCTGCCAGGCCCTCTGCGTCGCTCTCGTCCTCCAGGGGGGCATCCAGGAACGCTATGTAATCCAGTAGGCCCTCCGGCAGCGCGTCTAGCCGCACGCCAAAGACCTCGCTGTCCGGCACGCCGCGCGCCGCCATCGCCGCCCGCTTGGCCTCCAGCACCCTCGACTCCGGCGGCGCCGGCCGCCCAGTCACGCTCGCCTGCTGCTGCTGCTGCTGCTTTTTCCGGCCCCGCTGCTGCTGCTGTGTTGGCTGCTCGTCCAGCTGGGCACTTGGGGCTGCTAATCGGAGGTCCAAGAAGGCCGCGTCGTTGGGGTTGCTGCCAGGGGGAGGGGCAAACCCATACGACAGCAGCAGCTGCGGCAGGGCAAAAGATGCAGGGGAGTGCGCAAGAGGGGCAGCTTCATCCAAGCTCCTGAGATGCCATGCTTGCAGCGAAATGCCTCGACGTGCTCTGCAGTACCGGCAGGGTACCCGCCTGTCAACACTCATCTCCCCAGCCACCACTCTGTGTCCATGCATCCACCCGCCCCCACCCACCTCGCCGCTGCTTTTGGGGCCATAGCTGATAAACACCTGTGCCGCAAGCCGGGTCGCGCATTCGGGCGCCTCTGTACAATGCAAGACAGTGCACCAGCCAGCAGGGCTGGCGAGGAGCGACAAACGCCCCCAGTCCAAAAGCCAAAGACGCCTTGGCGCATCAGTCGACGGCACCTTGCTATGCTACACCTGATCAGCTGCGCCACCCCAGCCCCGCGCACCTGCTCGCCGGGCGCATAGCCCCTGTCCAGCCGCACGCCCACCGCGCCGCTGCCCGCGTCGAAGTCCAGGAAGCAGTCCGCGTCCACCGAGTGGTTCGCAAAGTCCGCAAACGGCACCAGCACCGTCTCGCCGCCGGCAGAGTCCAGCCGCACCGAGCGGCTGAGCAGCACGCCGACGGCCCAGCGGACGCTGTCGCGGGTGAACATGCCGTGCGGGCAGGCGCCGTCGACCTCGGCCGCGGATACGAGGTCTGCTACCTCTGACCAGCTGGCGTCGTCCGCGGCGGTGATGATGCGCGCCTTGGTGCGCAGGCCGCCGGACAGCCAGCGGTCGACCTGCGGATGATCGACAGCGCCCCGAACAGATGCGACAGACGTTGATTGATGAGCGCGACCCCTTGAAAGCAGCCCCTGACAGGCACAAGAAGGGATGCTGGCCAGGTTGGTGTGGGCCACACGCGTTGCTGCCGATCATACAAGGGCATCTGAAGCCGGAGGGGCGCATTCAGCTGCCACAGTGCGGCAAGGTGATTCCTCATAAAGCAGCGACGGGCTGCAGGCCTCATAGCGGCGGTGTGCGCCACTCACCTCGCCCTCCTTCCAGTCCAGCACGGTTCCGGCAGCGTCAGGGAGCACGGCCAGGTATGGTCCCCACCTGCTGCTGCCGCCGCCGCCGCCGCCGCCGTCGCAGCGCGCCAGGTGGCGCTGCTCGGCCAACCATAGGGCCAGGATCGTCCACTGCGGCAGATCGTACCCGACGCCGCCGGCGATGCGGCGCACGATCGGCGAGTCTGACGTTTGCAGAGTGGGAAGTGGGCAGGTGCAGGCCTTCGACCGCAGCTGGGACGGGTTGCGCGCCAGCCGATTGTAGGCAGCAGCTGCATGCACGCATTGCTGGCATTCGAAGCCGTGAGGAATTCCCCCCACCTCTGAGGACGCTCTCCTGAGATATCACCAGGTTCATGGGCACTTGGAGCAGAAGCTCTGCCTTTGACAGCCGCTGCCGGGCTAGTAGGCCGCGCCCCTGGCCTGGCAGCTGCTGTACCACGACCTGAGACCGTTTTATTGGTTAATTTCGTGCATGGGCTGGACGGTTGGAACGGGCCGTCTGCATTGCCTTGCTGAATCAGCCAGCAACGCGCTGCAGCGGAGCGGCTTGCGCACCTTCTGCTGCGGGAGCCCATTCGCGTCTAGCCATTGCATGAGCTCCGGTTCGCTGTCCTTGATGTCTGCTTGCGGTCTGTTGATCAAATGCGCGCATTGCTCGGCTGCAACGGGCGAACGTGGAAGCATTGCAACAACGAAAGCCTCATCTCACCCAGACAGCAGCCCCGACAAGAGGTTGCCGAGACCAATGCGGCACATGACTGTGCTTGTGGAGCTTTTCCCATCAATTCCAAGCCGCCCAGGAGGGCTCCGGGAGTGACGCCCCGTAAAAATAGATCTGTTGTTCATGGCGAGAGCTTCCGGGGAGCTGCAAACATCATGCAGGCGTCTACCTGTATTTATCATGTATGCGTGCAACGCTGCAGCTGCCCCATTGCCTGGTATTGAGCACGAGCGGGCAGTCAACAGGTGATGTGAACCCCCACAAAGGCGCGTGTATGACGGCCGTGGGTCTCACAAGTATAATTTAAGGCTTCGATGCAACTCCTGCGACCGTTGATGGGCGGACGGAGGATGTGTGCACAGCGCACGGGCTGCTGTTGTGTCCTGCTGCCCCGAACACTTCAGGCGAATTCGAAACATTGCGCGCCCGCGCACCGCTCCGCCGGCCCCAAACACGATCCTTGCACATCGATCGATCCTTTTCATACGCATTCATTCGGCTTGATCCCCGTTTCCAGCTCTCGATCAGCTCTTGACCCACACAACACCAGGACCCTTTTTCGGCCCTTTCGAGCCCTCATGGACTCTGATAAGGAGAACATACCCATAGGCAATGCTAAGCTGCATCGCAATGTGGCGGGGGCCGCGCCAGGAGGCGGAAATGGCTCGAAGGGACCTGCACAGCAGCTCTACAGGGCTTCTTCGTGCAGGGCACCCCTTTCAGACATCACACACCTCTTCAACCAGAAACAGGTATGCGTGCAGAGGGCTATCTCGCCTCCGATCGCGAATTCGTCGAGCAACAATATGCAGCACGACTCAAACGCGCCGTTCTGTGGTTTTGCAGGGAGACTTTGGCTTGCATAGGTCTTATTCCGACTCAAGGATCGATGTCAAGGTGAGAGGACCGCACGAGCAGACCCCGCGCGCGCCGCTGTCGCACCTCACGACCGCGTTCAACTCGCGGTCCACTCGATGCTCCTGCGTGCTGGATTCAACAAGCTACAAATTCAGCCCCACACTCCCTTGTTACCTGTGCCACAACCCTTGCAGCTTCCCGGCCTGAACCTCACTGCGACCCGCGGGTGCAGCAGCCTGCGGCCGTCTGGGGTTGACGTGTCTTCTCTAGGTGAGCCGACAAGGCACAGTCACTTCCAAGGACACGCGTTCGTGCAACGAGAAGCAGCATCGGGAAAGCAACACAAACAAATGCTTTCCCTTGTCGAAACTTGTTTGACTCAATCCATGCAATCTGCGGCATGCCCCACTGCAGGCGCCCTTGGCCAGACCAGCAGCAGCAACAGCAGGCGCGTGACGCGGATGCGGTGACCAGGTCGGAGTGACGCCGCCGTAGGGCTCGCCTAGAAGGCGGCAAGTCTCAACAATAGTGATCGATGCTGCTGCTGATCCTCCTTGTGTTAAGAGAACTGCTGTGAAATACAAGTGCGCATTCGCCTGCGTTTCCCACCTGCGCCGCCGTTGGCCATCCGGGGATGTGCTGCTTCTGCTTCGACTGGCGAATTTCGAGCGGTGCGTGCCGCTTGTGTTGCATCCCTTTTGCTGCGGTCCATCAGGGTTGCTACAAGTTCCTGCACAATCAGGGCTGCCTGAATTGATATGGCGCACATTAACCCACTGCCGCCTTGCACCGCGCACCACGCCTAGCCTGTATTTGACATTTTTCTACTGCTTTTGCGTGCATCTCACGCGTGTGCCCGACAACAACTGCTGACCTGAACAAAGCCCTGATGACTGAATCAAAGGAAGAGATATGGCACAATTGTAACACTGAATGTAGCGACCCTGAATGAACACACAAAGACTGCGGCCCTGCTGTGCTGCCTAGCCTTCGAAGGCCGGATGCCTCTGCCCTCTATAGACCTGGCTGAGAGGTTGGCTGCACCCTACTAGCTGAAAAACCTCGTCTCCTGCATCAATCCAGCTCTTCATGTGGTATGGGCAGCCCTAAGGCAGGCCTCAGGCCCCCGCCCGCCTCCGCCAGCTGCTGCGCAGCGCCGCGCCCGCCCGCGCCCGGCGCCGCCACGTCGTCCCACCGCACATACACCCTCGCCGCCTTGCCGGCCAGCCGCCGCCACTTGGACGCGCTCTCGCCGCCGCGCCCCGCGCCGGCGCCGGCGCCGGCGCCCGCGGCCCCCCGCGGGGCGGGCATCTCCTCCGCCTCCCCCTCGGTGGTCACGAAAACGACGCTCAGGCCGTCCCCTCGGCCCACGCTCAGGACATCCCCCACAAAGGCGTCGTTGATGGACCGCGCGAGCTCGTGGCGGCTGCGCAGCGCGCTGCAGGGCAGCGACACGCCCCAGCGCGTGCCCGCAAGGAAGAGCTTCACGGGGCGGTCGGACTTGCCTGTGTTGTGGGTTGGAAAACGGTGTTTGGGGATGCAGGCTGCAAAGGGAGGTCCAGACGGTTGCACATAGTAATTGCGCAATGCAGCTGTGCCATGCAAGGTTGCGGCAAGAGGATCGCAACCCTTTCCGTGGCGAGCAACAGCACTGTGCAGCATTACTCACTGGGTATGTTGTCCAAAGCTGCCCCGGCTGCAGCAAGGCGTGCGCGCCGCCGCGCCCCTTCACTGGCTAGCACCGCGGCATGCGCCACTGGTGGTAGCTGGTGCGCGTCTGCCAACGGTTCTGCCAGCTGCTGCTGAAGCTGCACCTGCTGCTGAAGCTGCACCTGTTGCTGTTGCAATGGCTGCTGCTGCTGCTGCTGCTGCTGCTGCTGCTTGGTGCGCTTTGCCGGCCGCTCCGCACCATAGTCAGACAGGTCCGCGCGCTGCCGCTCGCGCTCCTTCCCGTGCTGCTGCCGCTGCTGCTCATGCGGCTGACGCCGCTCCTGCCGCTCGTTCCGACGCTCTTCCCCGCTGCTGCTGGTCTCTGTAGCCAGCAGGGTGGAGGAAATTGGGTTGCAGGGTGGGCACAGCCAAATTGGATTGCCTTGGGTGTGACTAAAAGCTGAGCCATGAGCGCGAGGGCTACCAGCGGGCCAAGGCACACGGACGTGGCTGCAGTGGTATTACGGGCACAACACATCAGTGCGGCGCGTTCATCAACCGGCACCATGCAACATGCCACCTCCGGGTGCAGCGCCAGGGTCCCCGCCATGGCACATTTTCGAGCGCGGCGTCACTCCCCATGCACGCACCAGCGGGCTCCTTCTTCACGCGCTGAGCGCTCGTGTGCTGCTGCTCGCCACCACCCACGCCGCCGTCGCTGGACCGCCGCCGCCGGCTGTGCTCCCGCGATTCCGACTCTGTCCCCTGCGGCTTGGGCCGCCCGCGGCCGCGCGCGCGGTCGGTCGACAGCTGCGTCGCCAACACCGCGCCCGCGCGGCCTGCGCGCGGCCGTAAGTCGTTCAGCTGCCGGTGTAGCTGCCACACCAGCGCATCAGTTGTCGGGTCTGTGTCGGCCATGCCCCGTCGTGGTCAAGTTGCAGCTCTGCGCACTGCGCACAACGCCGTGAGCACAGCAAGCGCAGCGTCGCACGTGATGTGCGCCGCCTGCTAGGCGCAGGCAGCGTGTAAGTAGGTAGGAGGCGATAGAGATAGATGTTGCACCAAACGAGATAACATATGCTCGAACGGCTGCTGTGCTTATGCCGTTGTCTGAATCAGAGACAACGGGACGCAAAATCTAGCGCTAGACGCATAGATCACACAACCTCGGTATTTCCAAAAATCATTCAACAAACCTGTAAGCCAACGAAAGGGCTGCACGTCGCGCCCGCCAGCTAGAGTGAGCTGATCTGAGCTGCTTCACACGATCCAGCACCACCAATCAGGATAAACGCGCGTTTCTTATCTGGTGGGATGGAGGCGTGAGGATGCACAGCACGACAGCAGAGTAGCACTAGAGTGCCAGGCGTGAGGCCTCTATCAACAGCGCACGCAGCTAAGTGAGGACGCCATGTACCTCTACAACCTTACTCTCAGCCGGCCTTCGGGCATCCAGGTGTGCAGCTGCAAGAAGCGTGCTTGCCGCGCATGCGAGCTTGCCGCCGTCGACGAGTTGTGTGCGTGTTGGGGTGTGTGTGCGTTGCAGCCTCACTGCAGTTGTGTGGCTCCTCAGTCTCAGGGGAGGGACCGCACGACATGGCCCGCCAGATGTTTGGAGAGAGTGCGTCACCCACACTGCAACAACACATCCGTGGCCGCTGCGGCCATCGCCGCCCCACCGTTGCATGCTCGCGCCCAAAAAAACGCCACCCCGCTTCGCACACACGCGCACATGAGCAGTGCGCCATCTACGGCAACTTCTCGGCCCCCAAGGCCCAGGAGCTCGTCGTGTCGCGCGGCCGCAGCATCGAGCTGCTGCGGCCGAACGACAGCGGCAAGCTCGTCACCGTCGCGTCGACCGATGTGTTTGGCTGCGTGCGCGCGCTGGCGGCGTTCCGGCTCACGGGGGCGTCAAGGGATTACGTGATCATGGGGTCAGACAGCGGCCGGATCGTCATTCTCGACTTCAAGGCTGACAAGGGCATGTTTGTCAAGGTGGGCGTCCTGCTGGATGGGGGAAGGGGGAAATGGGGCACGGCAGCTGCTGAGCAGCTGCCATGGCAGCGGCTACAGGGCGCAACGGGCTATGGGATGCTGAATGCTGAGGGGGGGGGTCGATTGGGCGCAGCTGGCGGCAGAATGGGAGTCGCAGCTGCGGCGTCGTGCGCGGCAGTTCTGGCGCTGATGGGGGCGGCGGCGGCGCAGTAAGGGCGCGGGCGCGCGTCAGCGGGCGGCAGCCTTGTCGGTGCGACCGGCAGGGCTTGGCCCCGGGGCGCGCCAGTCGGACACGGCGGGCATGCGTGCAGCAGGACAAGGCGCCGCCGCGGCGGCGGGGCGGGCGCGCCTGGCAGCGGCCGTCGGCCAGGAAAGCACGTTTCGGCCCCACTGCAGCCGCAAGCC